TGTAGGGCTCCCCACTCAAGTGGGGCATCTGCTTCTCTTCCATTCCCTCTTTCTTTGCCCCTCTCCCTGCTCTCTCTCTAAAATAAATTTTTAAATATTTTAAAAAAACAAAAAAAAGTAAGGCGGTGTCTGTGCGGCAAGAAAAGGTCACTTGGTGAGTGGTGTAGTCAGATCAAGGACACAGCATGAGTCTTCATCAGCCCACCTGCTGGATCTGTGTGATTTGGATTCGGTCACTTATACGACTGGAATAAAGTACCAATGGCAAAAAATAGATAACTGGCATGATATGCAAATGTAAATTGATACCAAAAAGTGATGTCCACTCATCTGAATTTGGAGTACACCCATGGGATCAGTTGCCATTCCCTGCTTTCCACTCACTGGTGGCCAGTCCCCCTATAGAGGCTGAAGGAAGGACTGGCTTTGGCAGGAGCTTCAGCCCAAGTCTCTTCGGAATAGATCCCCCTCACGTGGTCCTCATCACGGCCTGTGAGTCACCGGTGACTTTAGACAGACTCTCTTGTTTGGGTCCACACCCACCTTTGTCTGCATGAAATATGTGGCATTTCCACCTCATAGACACACACACCTTTGAGTCTTAAATAACTGGAGAATTTTCCCCAGGTCTTCTGGTTCTTGCTGGTTTGGTAACACTACTTCGGTTAATTCTGGTCATCTCTAGTAATTCTCTCCTCTCTCTCTCTTTCACGCCCTCCCCACACGCATGTGTATGAGTGCACGCGTGCATATGTATTACACACTTTAATTCCCAAATGCTTCTAACTGGTGGAGCCTGTATGTTACATAATTTTTGGCTTCCAAGAACAGCCATCAGTTTTGAATGTACATGTATGTCCTTATTGCGGGTATTTAAGATGAATTATCCACTTTATCAGGTATCTCTGATTCAAATAAATGCCAAGCAAGAAAAGAAAAGCTATTTAAGAATTGGAATTATGAAAAAAAAAAAAGAATTGGAATTATGTAATGGGTGTTACATACTTAAACAAACTGCTCTCCACCTATGCCTGCTTATAGTGTGGCTTATTCATAATGATATCATTAGATTTATATTTTGTTTGACTTCAAAAAATTCCATTTTCCCGACTTTCAGAGCCCAGTGCCCGTATTTCCAGGTCAACTGCTCCCGCGGCCATTCCTCTCCGTGGTTCAGCGGACAGTTGAGTGCAGTCTGCGTGCAGGGCTCTGTGCGAGGTTCTGTGGCCACAGCGATGACTCCCTTGTGGCACTTGTCCTGAAACATCTATGACTTAACAAGCTTGGAAGCAAATAAACCAGGATGTAGCGTGTTAAGTGTTGTAACAGAAACATAAAAAGACTAAGAAACTAGATCCTCTTTAGGGGATTTTCGGAGAGCCACCACAAGAAGGCACTGAATGAACTGGGCTTTGGAGCATGAATAGAAGTTTACCAGATGAAGGCACCAGAGAGAGGGGGAAACTTCTAGGGGCAAGAATCATGATATGCAAACTCTCTGGATCAAAGGTGGCGTGACCACGAAGTACTGAGACATTTCCTGTGGAAGGAACATAGGACATAGGAGATGGGTCTGTAGGACACGGAGTTGAGAAAGTTGGCCAAGGCCATATCACAAAGACCCTAATATACAAAGCTGGGAGTTTATTCCTTTGGTAAGAACAGGACTAGCTTTGAATTTGGAAAGGGAACACACACACATACACATACACATACACATACACATACCCCCTGTTATTATTAATCAAATGACTATACTGGGGTATCCTATGTTTTGTCTTGTCTTTTTCCTTTATTGGCTGTTATAAACGGTTCTGTAATGAACAGATTTATTTATTGGTCTTTGCACAGATTCTTAATTATTTCCTTAAGATAAACCGTTTGGAATGAAATTGCTCAGGGAAAGGGATGCACATTTTTAAGGCTTTAGAGAATCAAACTGCCCTCCAGAAAGGCTATGCCAGTTTCATTCACACCAACAGTATTTTAGAGCATTCTTTCCCCCCACACCCTCCTCATGGAAATTATAATTTTTATAAGTCCTCACCTACTAACACACAATTAGCAATATCTCACTGTATGAATCCCCCCCTTTTTTTTTTTGCTAGTGAAGTTTCTTTTTCATGGAAAACAGGCACTTAACATTCCTGCTTCTGGAAGACATTTATACTCTGACTTTTGTGCGGGCATGTTTGCCATTTTATTGCTTCGTAAGAGCTCTTTGTATATTAAGGAGATTCTGGTTTTGCCAGAATATGGTGTAAATAAGTTCTTTCAATTTGTAATTGTGTACCTGTCTACCCTCCCCTACTAAGTTTAGCCTGTGGGGAAGAGACGGCTTTGCATCCCCCATGGCACACAACATGTCTCTCTTCTGTTGTGGGTGCTCAGCAAATATGCTGGGAAGAATATTTATATTCTTTTATAAAACCTGTTCTGCCTCCTTTATAAAACCTGTTCTGCCTCCCTCTGCAAGAGGCAGGGGATCGGTTGAATACACATATTCCCCTTATTCATAGCAATATTTGAAGTTGTCTTGTTTCCTCCATTCAACAAATATTTCCTGGGCATTTTTTTTAATTTTTAATTTTTTAATTTTTTAATAAACATATAATGTATTATTAGCCCCAGGGGTACAGGTCTGTGAATCACTAGGTTTATAGACTTCATAGCACTCACCATAGCACATACCCTCCCCAATGTCCATAACCCCACTGCGCACTTTTTTTTTAGAATTTATTTTTTTATTTAGTTATTTAATTGACAGTGAGAGAGGGAAGACAAGCAGGGAGAGTGGGAGACGGAGAAGCAGGCTTCTCGCTGAGCAGGGAGCCCGATGCGGGACTCGATCCCAGGATCCCAGGATCATGACCTGAGCCGAAGGCAGATGTTTAAGGACTAAGCCACCTAGGTACTGCTACTGAGCCCTTTTATGTGCCAGGCATTGTGCTAGATGCTAGGGATACGGGAATGAGCGAACCCTTCCATTCTAGTTGAGGGAGACAGATAAAAGGATAAATCAATAAAATATGTATTATGTTAGGTTGTAATCAGCATTAGGAAGAAGATCAAAACAGAGGGGGTGGCCAGGGGGACCCACCGAGATGGTGAAAGAGGTGGAGGTGTTACCGGGTGGATATCGGCAGGAGAAGCCCTCTGAGCAAAGTGACCAACACGTGCAAAGGTCCCCAGGCAGGAGAATGCATGCAATGGATTCCTGGAACAGCAAAAAGGTCAGCGTTGCTGGAGCACAGGGAGCAAATTAACGAGGCTGGGGGAGGGGCGCAGGTCGCACATCTCTTTGCAGGCCCTTGTAGGAACTTGACTCTGTCTAAATGAGATGGGAGAGTTTGGAGCCCAGAAGTGGCGGTGTCTGCCTTACACTGCAGAGCGACAGCCTTGGCTGGTGTGCTGGGACTCCAGTGCGGTTGGTGGGTAAAGGTAGAAACAGAGAGATCCGCTAAGAGGGTCTGAATAATCCCGGAGAGAGGCCATGGCACCTTGCACCAGTTGAGAGCAGCAGCGATGGTGAGGAAGTGTCAGATTCTGGGCGTATTTTGACAAGAGTAGAGCCAACAGCATTCTGCAATGAGTTAGACGTAAAATGAGTGCAAAGGAAATAGGGGAATAAAGACTGGTTTTGAGAATTTGGGCTTGAGCAACAGGAGGATGCAATTAACATGATGAAGTCGCAGGCAGAGCCGGTTTGGGGGAAAGATTAAGACTCTGACTTTGCTTGGGTGCCTGGGTGGCTCAGTGGGTTAAGCCTCTGCCTTCAGCTCAGGTCATGATCCTAGGGTCCTGGGATCAAGCCCCACATCATCCCCCACATCATCCCCCCCCCCCATCCCCCCCATCATCCCTCCCGCATCATCCATCTTCGGGCTCTCTGCTCAACAGGGAGCCTGGGTCCCTTCCTCTCTCTCTGCCTGCTTCTCTGCCTACTTGTGATCTCTGTCTGTCAAGTAAATAAATAAAATCTTAAAAAAAAAAAGGACTCTGACTTTGCAAATATTGAACGTAAAACATTTCAGACCAAGTAGAGAGGTTGAGCGTAGACACTAACAATTGTTGTACATAAGAATTGGGATTTTAGAAATGTTTTTTTCTTTACCACTCCTCTGGCTGTTTGTCTTCTTTTCTTGGTCCTTTCGAATTTTTCAAAATCACAAAATCATTGTTTTTTTTACAATTTTTACAAGATTTTACAAGATTTTTTATTTATTTAATTTTACAAGATTAGCTACATGTAATTTTTTTAGGGGTAGGGTAGGGGCAGAGGGAGAGAGAGAGAGAGAGAATCTTTAGCAGGCTCCATGCCCAGCACAGAGCCTGAAGCAGGGCTTGACCTCACAACCCTGAGATCATGACCTGAGCCCAAATCAAAAGTCGCACACTTAACCGTCTAAGCCACCCAGGTGCCCCATAGCTGCATTTAACTTCTTAAAAATAATAATAATAACTTGACTTATGAGCTAGAGGGGAGGAATAATTGAGTACTGCAGACCTTCTTGTGATCTGCTTATACCCAGAACTTGAAAGTCAAGGCAATCCAAAAAACATTCTCTATGATCCTACTACAGACCAGGCACTCTGCTCAGGTTCAGGGGATGCTGAGATAAATATGGGCCCAGCTCTGAAGGAGCTCAGAGTTCAACAGGCTCCGGGGCCAGCCTCCGTAAGTGCTGTAATCGAGGTCCCAACCAAGAACCAGGGGAGAATGAAGGAGGGAGGGAGTAAGGAGGATGCATAAAATCCCCATATCATAAAAACGTCAACACCAAAAAAGTCCCATATTGATCAAATAGGTCGCCTCTGGGTCACACTGTGTGCAATTTTAATGGCTAATGGGAGCACCAAGAGGGTGGACAGATGGGTGATCAGATCACTCTTTACTGAAACGTAACACATGTGGCAAAGGAAGTCCAAGGACATCTTTGGAACAAGGGAAGCTCCACTCCCACACCACCCTCACCATCACACACACACACACACACACACACACACACACACACACTCTAAGGCATATGTGAGCCAGTGTCCCACTGCCATGTCTGGGTAAGGGCTTAGGTCAGCTGACCTCTTGGGAATCTTCCAGGTATATCTTAGCTCTGTAGCTCCAGTCTGTGTATGGGGTGGGGGGGGTATCCCAGGCCACAGGCAGGCAGCACTGGCCCCTCTGGCACAGCAGATGTTCCTTAGCCCCTCCTGATGCGCAGCAGAGAGACGTGGATGGGAGGTCCATGGGTATGCAGTTCCTGGCAGAGCTGGAGGGCAAAAGAAGCAGGGATCCTTCCAGCCCAAATCTGGCCCATGAGCTCACCACAGGGCAAGGACAGGAAGGGACAGTGGGACATGATGTACGAGGAGGCCAGCAACCCTTCCCAAGCCGCCCACAGACTGGGCATGGACTAGATGCTGCATGCACAGTATGTCATTGGACCTCACAACAACCTTATAAAGCAAGTAGTAGTAACTTAGTTTTATAAGGGAGGAAAATAATACAGAATAGCTTACCCAAGGTCACACAGTTAGGAACTGAAATTCACCCCTTGATCTATATGGCTCCAAAGTTTGTTCTTTGTCTGAGCCCAGAACTCTGTGTCTGTGCCCCATTCCCAACAAGAACTCATACCCAACACCAACAGCCTGCTTCCTGCCCCTCAGCTCTGGACCTGCTCCTTTCTCCCAGGCCTCTTTCTGATCGCGGAAATAGTTACCAGTTTGGGAGCTCAGATCTGACACCATTCTGGGTTCTCCTTTTTTTTTTTTTTTTTTAAAGATTTATTTATTTTATAGAGACAGAAAGAGGGCGGGAGGGGCGGAGGAAGAAGGGAGAGAGAGAGAATCTCCAGCCAACTCCACGCTGAGCACAGACCCCAATCGATCTCACAATGCTGAGATCGTGACCTGAGCTGAAACCAAGAGTCTTAACCGACTAAGCCACCTAGATGCCCCTCTGGCTTCCCTCTTTGACTAGGATTCACACTTGCTACTTTGATTATCATGTGCTGTAGGCATTCATCATTTCTCTGGCTGTCTCGTTTCAATCTGCACCCACCCCAGGGAACTCCTTATTATGGAGCCCTGATGGGCCCCTTTCTGCTAAGAGAACTTCAAGTGTCCAGATATTCCCTCTTCTTATCTCCTGGCATCAAGATGTGGGCACAAGAGCTAGTCTGAGCTGACCTAGTCTAACCTTCCAATGATTCACACCATCCCCAAAAGCTCTGACCCCAGAATTCCACCACTGGAAGCTTTGTCCAGTGATCTGGGTCTTAGGGGAATTTTCCCAACTTATATAAAAATATCCCAGTCTTGGTCCCCATCTAAAATATACATCTATGGGGTATTTTCTACCTAGCATTCCTAGTTCCTCTAGGGCCTGTCCTCATTCCATGTGGTTCAGTTTGAGCTGTCAGTTACAGTAGACCTTGCAGGGCCATAAGACTAGTCTTTCCCTAGTGTAATATGCAGGTATTGGGAGAGGAAAGTACCTGTGACTCTGGGGCTGTCACAGCCACCTTTCCTTACATATGGAGAGAGATTCTGAAGAACAAAGAGCTAAGAGAAGTCAAGAAAGAAAATCTTGATGATCATATCTAAGCTGCTGGATCTAGCCATAACTGAGGATGGACAAGTCACTTCTAGGTTTCTCAGTCAATACCTTGCCTTTTCTGTGTAAGCTCCAATGAGCTGGATTTCTGCTACTTGTAACCCAAAGTCCTGCCCATTCATATAATTGACCTTCCAAGGGTTAGGAGTCCTGGCCTTCCTATGGCCTGAGGAAATTGGGGGTGAGGGAAATCATTTTTTTTACATAACACAGAAGGGGAATTCCCAACTCAGGAAAAACAGGCAGAAGCTAAGCCAAGCAGATTAGATTTAGTTCCTGTAACTCTCCTCTACAGGATTTAGTTCCTGTAACACTCCTGGCCCAGAAAGTTCCCACTCACCTCCTGCATCAGCCTCTCTGCCACTCTGGGGTCACTGAGGTCTTCTGGGGAGGCCACTCTCAGCTGCAGGAAGAGAAAGCCTCCATCCCCACCTGAAAATTTAGAAAAGCAGTAAGTCAGTTCAGGAATGGGGACATGACCTGTGCTACCCAGCCTCTGTCTCCCACTCTGCACCTCTGGGCTCACTCTCATGTGTAAATGTGTCCGTGCTCACATGGGATCTTACATTTATTCACTGCAAAGAGAAAAAGGATTCCCTCTTTCCAATAACTAGGCTCCTTGTAGTGTCTTCCCAACAAGAGTGAAGGAAAGGATCTCTAAAGACCCCATCCACATTTGGAGAAGTCAAAAGAATAGTGCGAAGAATGAGAAATGAAAGTGAAATCTAGAATGTTCTCAAGGCCTGGAAGTTCTGGATGAACTGTTGGGAAAGGATCCAGACAGGGAGAGCACCAGTGAGAGGCCAGCTCTCAGAGGGGAGGCCTCAGCCAATTCGTCCAGCTCTAAATTGGCAGAAGCTTCAATCCAGCCTTCTCAATCTAGCCACTCTGGGGGCAAGTTCTGCCTTCTGTGGGGCCCTAACCCCCTTGCCTTCCCCAGCCACCGTGGAGTCATTTCTTCCTACCAGAATACTGTTAGATTGCACTTCTATATTTACAGAGATAGAGATAGATACCAGTATTGATACTGTATCGATATCAATGTATATCTCTTTCCTCCTTGTTTTGGCTGCCATATGCATATTTCATGGCTGGACTATTGACAAGAAAGTGACTCTGTCGGTCATGTGTATGAAGGTAGCTGGGGACTTGGGGAACCGCAGTGGGACAGAAACATTTTATGCTGATCCCTTTTGTACCTATTGAATTTTAAATCATGTCAATGTATCATCTAATCGACAAATAATAAAGAAGAGCATTTTATTTTATTTTTTTAAAGATTTTATTTATTTATTTGACAGAGAGCGAGAGATCACAAGTAGGCACAGAGGCAGGCAGAGAGAGAGAGGGGGAAGCAGTATCCCTGCCGAGCAGAGAGCCTGATTCGGGCCTCGATCCCAGGACTCTGGGATCATGACCTGAGCCGAAGGCAGAGGCTTTAGCCCACTGAGCCACCCAGGCACCCCTAAGAAAAGCATTTTAAAAGAAAAATACATTAATCAGTTGTGTTTTAAAAAAATAAAAGCACAGTAGGAGACTATGAGATGGAACCAGACTTCCATTTGGAGTCCCACTGCTGTCTTTTCACCGTCTTTAAATCTGTTTCCTCACCCATCAGGTGGGCTACTAACATCCACCTCAGAAGGTGGTTTTGAAGGTTTAACTAGAAGAGAGAACACACGCAAAGCTCTTAGTTCACTGCCTGACGTTAGTGAGAACATTCTGGGGCCAGCGCTGACTGGTGAGGCAATATGTTTCTATCACCTCTGCTGGAATACACATGATGTTTGGTAAGGGGGTTGTGATTAATATTTTTATTTCACCTCCCCACAAAAGCAGGACAGGCTGATGCCACCATGGGGATGAGGCACAAGGACAGTGTTAGGAAGACGAGGTGGAGGCTCCAGGCTGACCAGGAGCTGGGCTGACCGAGCAGCCTCTCACAAGCAGCTTCTTCCCTAAAAAGTATGTTTTCTTAGACATGAAGCTTTAAACCCCAAACCTTCACCCAATTTGTTTGTTTGTTTGTTTGTTTCAAGTCACTGTGGCTCCAACCCCAGCAGGCACAACCAGTAAGTCCCACTTTCACGGGGTCCCAGCTGCTCAGAGGGCCGCAGCTTGGGCCAGATGTTCACATGGTGCCCCTCTGTGTGGCTCTAGCTGTACCAGAAGCTTCAAGAGTATGAGAACTGTGGCTTTTGAATAAAATTTGGGGCCTCGCCTGGTGCATAGTAGTCACTCAACTATTAATATCATGGAAGGATAGAGCCGGAAAGGACCTCATCGTTCACCCATCACAACCCCATTTACTGGTGGAGAAACTGAGGCCAGAAAGCAGAGAGGGAAAGGACCTGTCCTAGGTCACTAGGTTATTAAGGGCAAAACCAGGATCTCATGCCATTTCTCCAGACTTCTAGCCCCACAGTTTTCCCATACACCTCTCTAACTCTGCTTTATTTCTGACTTTGGCAAGATTTGCTAGAAGATCATGAAGAGCTTCCATCAGGGACTGCACTCAGAATAGGCCCCAGAGCCTTCCTTCCTCCCTACCCCTTATTAAGCACGCAGACACCCTGGAAACTCCAAACCCCACATCCCCCAGATCCTAGCTGTAGGAGCCTCTGACCTGCAGTAGCTTCTGTGGTCCCCCTTGGCTGAGCAATGGTGGGCAGAGCAGTTGGGGCCTTCCCTCCAGCCCTGCTGGTTGTCTTCAAGGTCTTGGCTAAGGTTGTGGTCTTGACTGAGGTGATGTTTGCCTCGAGGCTGCTATTGGCCATAATCAGGTGGGCAGAAGGAAAAGTGCTCCTGCTGATGGGGACAGACCCATCGATTGTTCTGTCTGTGGTACGAGGCTGTGAGGGGCTGGAGTTCTTGCTAGTGGCTCTGTGGCTGTGGCTGTCAGCCGTAGCAGGGGAAGCCACTTTACCTACCGTTGACCCGGTCTCTGTGGAGATCGTAACCACTCCTGAGACCTCGGTGTGGCTTGTCGTCTCCACAGAGAGGACTGCAGTTTCTTCCCAGGGTCTAATGCTGACTGTCACCAAAGTTGTGCTGGGTGTCATGGGCTCAGCTGCTGTTGTTCCTCCTTCTATGGTGCTCTTAGCAGGTAGCAGAGTCTCAACTGGGGTATCAGGTATGGCTGGTTCTGTGGCACTGGCTGCTGACGAAATCTCTGCGGAGGTCATGGTCTTGGTGAGGTGTGGTTCTGCTTCGGTGGAATGAAGCAAAGCTGACACATCAAAGGAAGATGGGGTCTTTCCTCCTGTGGGGTCGAGAGCTACGTCAGAGGTCCCAAGGCTGGTGGCAGTTGTTAGTATTTCTGTGACGCTGCAGTTGGTAACCTCCATGTCGGTGAGGCTGTAGGCAAGCCAGTCTTTAGCCGAAGTGTTCTGGTCGGGTGCCAGGGCCTGTGAGACGGTGATGGCCAGAACTGAGTGGTCCGAGAAGACGCTGCTGTCTAAGGCCAGGCCCTCGTCTTCTGCAGAGGTGTGAGCTGATGTCAAGACATCAATTATGAGCCTCTTCGCCTCTTCTGAGCTGTCATCAGTACAAAGGGTGTCAAAGACAGCTTCCACAAGATCACTGCCTATTATAGTCTCCACTGTGGTCCTTCCAGTTGCCATGGGGCTTCCGCTTGTGGCTGATGCCTCCATAGGAGTGGTGATCATAACCGTGAACTTGGACGGTGTCATTTGTGTGAAGACCCTGGTCTCTGTTGCATGAAAAGTGGTCTCGGTTTTCCTGGTCTCTGCTTCTGAAATGGCACTGGTCAGGATTAAGTTCCTATCAAAGGTCTGGGTGCTCAGGGTTTGAGTTTCCAAAGGGGTATGGCTTGGCACAGAGGTCTCGACAAGGTCAGTGGTCTGGAAGTCTCTCTCTGACTTTGTCCGGATTCCCGGAGTCATGGCAGGCTCTTCTATGTGGTTTGTCATCACCAAAGGACCTGGTCTGCTGGTGCTGGGGCCTGTGTTAGGTAAGATCAACTTCGTAAGCCATGAGTCCCATTGGACTAATTTCACACATGTTCTTGTGTTTATGCCCTGGGAACCCTGGGAGGAGGGTAGGGAGGGGAAGTTGCTTTTACGGCATTTTTTCCTCTATACATACAAGGAAGAAGGAGGCGGTATCATCAGGAAGACCAGTCCCATGTGTCAGCCATGGAACTGGAGTTGCCTGTCTAATGTCTTCTTTTTTTTTTTTTTTTTAACGATTTTATTTATTGATTTGACAGACAGAGATTACAAGTAGGTAGGCAGGCAGAGAGAGGAGGAAGCAGGCTCCCTGCTGAGCAGAGAGCCCGACGTGGGGCTCGATCCTAGGACCCTGGGATCATGCCCGGAGTTGAAGGCAGAGGCCTCAACCCACCGAGCCACCCAGGCACCCCAGCCTGTCTAATGTCTTCTGATGACCCTAAGTGCTTCTGGGGCAAGCAAGCCTCAGAATCTAGTTGATTATTGGTCTGAAGCCAACAGAGGGAGTGCATGGGGCCAAACTCCAGCTTCAAGGGGGAGCAAAGAAGGCAGAGGTCCAAGTAAGCCAAGAACTACAGAGCAGGGACCACAACTCTCAGAACCTTCTGAAAGAATCCTTGTGACTTTCCCATTGATACTTTTCTTATCCAGCAGATGTTTCCCCCTGGAAGTAAAAACCCTTCAAACCAGAAAACAACTGTGGTTTTGTATTTAGAGGTACCTGGGAGGACGGCGGGGGGGTGGGCGGGGAGAGGAACCTCCAGAGAGAGAGTAGGTGATGGTTTCTGCAAAAGGGAAGGGAGTAGGCAGAGTCCTTGGGAAAGGGGCAAGCTTCCCATCCCTGCTCATCTGACATGGTGGGGATGGGACCCCAGAACTACTGAAATGATGCACCATCCATGTTCCACAGGTAACAGGGAGCCAAGGGAGGAAAACTTAACCCTTAAAGAGATGCTGCTAGCATTTCTCCACAGACCAGAACATCTCTGGCCACTCGACAGACCGTCAGAGGTTGTGTGAGTGGTGGGTGGCACTCCTTGCCTGGGGAGGCTACAGCAGGATCTTTTCATGCACCTACAAGCATGCCTCTACCACCTACGGAGGGGGAAGGGCTCTCTCTGTAAGTGGGCTAAGGACCCTTTCAGGGAAGGGTTGCCAGATTTAACAGATAAAAATACAGGATGCCCAGGGACACCTGGGTGGCTCAGTTGGTTAAGCAGCTGCCTTCGGCTCAGGTCATGATCCCAGCGTCCTGGGATCGAGTCCCACATCAGGCTCCTTGTTCTGTGGGGAGCCTGCCTCTCTGTCTGCCTGTGCTCGCTCACTCTCTCTCTCTCTGACAAATAAATAAATAAATAATCTTAAAAAAAATACAGGATGCTCAATTAAATTCAAATTTGAAATTCAGATAAACAAGGAATAATTTTAATGACAAATTATGTCTTTAGTATGGGTATTTCTGATGTAATATTTGAGACGTACTTACAGAAAAAAGCTTTGTTTCTTGAAATTCAAATGTAAGGGGATGCCCTGTGGTTTTCCAGTAACCCTACTCTTGGAAGGACAAGAATCAAAATATAAGCCCCCCTTTTCGGGGTTCCAATGATTTGAGATGGTCTTTACTGAGGTCTACTGGCCCAAAAGTACCCAAGCACCCCATGGAATTACAGGACCATTTGGTCACCTCTACCACGGCTGTCAGGACTGGGCCCCAGGTCCTCAGCTTGTCCACTTGTGTCTCTCCCTGAATGATAAAAGAGCACTGGGCCAGGAGACCAAAGACTGGGCTCCAGCCCTAGGCCTATTGCCTACTAGCTCTGGAGTCCCATGATTGACTGGTTCAAATCCTGACTCTGCCTCCTACTAGCCAAGCCAGTCACTAGACCTCTCCAAGCCTCCCTTGGGAACGAGGGTTACCCTACCTGTGTTGCAGGTGGTAGTGAGGACCAGAGGAGAAGAGGAATGGGAAAGTCTTATATACCAAAGCCTGCAAGGGTCACTAAGCATCCCTCCCCAGCCTTGTCCTCTCCAAGAGCCACTTGAGAGCACACAACCTTCTTTAATGCGGTGAGAATGTCAGGTTGTCCCCATGCGCTGATTAGGAGAGTCATGACATACCAACTCTCATTAGTTGTTCACAAATCATGCTTTTACAGGAATATACTTTCTTCTCCCCACTTCAAAGCCCAAGATATTTCTCTGAGCTTCCTCGGTCTCCACACGGTGGAATCAAAGCCTTTCTGTGTCAACCCACACAGTGCTCTTGGGGTCTGACCACTGACCTCCTCCGAAGTATTTTCTTCCTTTTCCAGGAGCCCCGTGATATCATCCTGCTTTGAAACCTCCTTGTGCTTCCCAACCCACAGCCACTTCACACCCACTGGGACTCTCACATCCCCCACCCAAGTCTCTGACCCACCAGAGATCTGCTCAAGCACAGCAAAGCCGACCCAGGCCTGTGCTCCTGTTGCTGCTTTCCTAGTCGTGCCTCAAACTGGCAGAGAGGATGGTGTGTGTACTGGGACCCTGAGTTTGAGTCCCTGCTCTGCTTCTTACCAGCCATGGGACCCTGATCAAGTCTCCGGGCTCCAAACCTGCATTTTCTCATCTGTAAAACGGAGCTAAGGGTCCATATTTCGTAGGTTGTGAAGATTAGATTAAATTAAAACGTAAAACTTGGGCGCCTAGGTGGCTCAGTGGGTTAAGCCGCTGCCTTCAGCTCAGGTCATGATCTCAGAGTCCTGGGATCGAGCCCCGCATCGGGCTCTCTGCTTTCTCGGGGAGCCTGCTTCCTCCTCTCTCTCTGCCTGCCTCTCTGCCTGCTTGTGATCTCTCTGTCAAATAAATAAATAAAATCTTAAAAAAAAATCTTAAAAAAACACACACACAAAAAAAACGTAAAACTTGTAGCACAAGCCAGGCAGATCATGAAGGCATACACAAGATGAAGTGGTCTAGAGGCTAGGTGCTTGCAGAATAAGGTGGCTTTGCAGGTGACTTGTTGAATCCTGGGAAGCCTCAGTCCCATCACCTCTGTGGGCAGGGGTGAGTAGGAATAAGACTCGTGTTTCTCTCTCGGGGTCATTGTGAAGATTAAAAAGAGCATGGGGGCATATGGGACATAGCTGCACCTTCTTCTCAATTTTGCCATGAAACTAAAACTGCTTTAAAAAATTATCTTTTTTTAAAAAGATAATGCAGAGGGCTCCTGGGTGGCTCAGTTGTTAAGTGTCTGTCTTCAGCTCAGGTCATGATCCCAGGGTCCTGGGATCAAGACCCGATCAGGCTCCCTGCTCGGCAAGAAGCCTGCTTCTCCCTTTCCCACTTCTACTTGTGTTTCCTCTCTCATAGTGTCTCTCTCTGTCAGGTGAGTAAATAAAATCTTAAAAAAAAAGATAATGCAGGATGCTGATAGAAGGGGAGACCATGTCTAGAGGGTGTACAGAGGTGACATGGGAATCTCAGTACTTTCTGCTCAATTTTGCTGTGAAACCAAAACTGCTCTCCAATAAAAGTCTATTAAAAAAAAAAAAAAGACAATGCATGCAACAAGCTTAGCAAGGTTCTAGGTTAGTTCTCTTCTTCCATAACAGCCCTGGCCCCCTCAGAATCCACCCTCACCTCAGTCAGTGACAGACTTTTCACACACAAAAACTAGTTTTTTTTTTTTAAAGGAAATCTGGGCTGGGAAATAAACTTGGAGGCGTTAGAACCTGGTCAAGCCACTTTCTTTGGCTTTAGTCAGATTTATCCCCTTCCACCACTCTGCCTCACTTGCCCCCCCAACTCCCACGCAGAAAAACAAACCCACAGTCACAGCACGGGGACGTCACTCATTCTATGGACTGCAGTGTCAGACGTGCGTCAGCTGACATCCTGTTTATCAAGGAATACGTCAAATGCAGCTTTATGGTTAATTGTAATTAACCCAAGAGGGCCGCTGGTACAGAAACTTACACCCAGCGCTCTTTGGGAGAGAAGCCCCCCGCCTCCTTACCTGCAGAGCTCCTGGGGGCCCCAGCCTCCCAGCAGAAGAAAAGGGACAGAGCCAAGCCCCAGAGAAAGCCCATCCTCAGGGGAGCTCTGGCCACCATCGCCCAGCACGTCTGCCCAGCACGTCTGCCCACCACCTTGCGCTGCCACCTTTTCCTGCTTCCTCAGTCTGGGGCAGAGGGCGGGTCACCTGCCTTGGTGTGGCTGGGTAGTTTCCAGAATGCAGCCAGGTAATCACAAATGCCCTGGTGGAGAGTTGGCAGGGTGCATGTCACAGGCTGTCCGCAAGCTAACCCTCCCGCCCACCCCCCGCCCAGCGACCTCTCCTCTCTGGACACTTGGAGGAGTTTGATTGTGAGATATGGAATCATTTCCACAGTGATATTCACCGCCTCGGTCCTGCAGCCAGGGAGGCCAGGGAGGATGGTGTTTCACATTTCCCCCTTTTCTACAACCCTTCCTCCTCCCCCCACCCCTGTGCATGGGACTTAGTCTTTTAGTTCAGGAGACCTGGGCTTCATTTCTAATCCTAGCCTTTATTAGCTCCGTGATCTAGGGCAAATGAATGAACCTTTCTGAGGCTCAACTTCCTGATCTATAAAATGGGCATCATCCTTACCTTGCTGGGTTGTTTTGTGAGGATTACACGAGAAAGTAAAGTTCTTACACAGCTCCTGCTGCATACTTGTGGCTCATGGAGTACACCTGCACCTGAGCTGCTCAGTATGAGAGCTCTCAGGTCATAAGATAGAGCCCCATGTTGGGCTCTGCATTCGGCACAGTGGCTCTCCCTCCCCACCCCACTGAGAAAATAAATAAATAAAATCTTAAAATAAGTAAATAAGTGAGAACTCTGGCATCTACTGTGATCCTCAAGCAACAGAGAGAACGGACAGCCCCCCAAGGTCTGCAGGGGACAGGGTGGAGCGGGACTCTGACCTCTAACGTCTTTCTGATGACTCCTGTGATTCTGCATCCCTGTCAGAGTCAGGATCACGTCCAGAGCCAGACTGGAGTGTGGGATGGGGAAGGCTCACTAGCCGGGAGAAGGGAAAGCGTAGGTGTGCAGGTCAGACTACAGGGCCCGGGAGGAGGGAAATGTGAGGGTGATGACTTAGGGAAGCTTGCAGGATTTGGTCACAGGAAGGGGAGTGAGGCTGAAGAATATATTTCCAAATGCCCTAGAAAAGAATTTTAGCCCTTCCAGGGGCCAAGGAATGAGCTGTCATGGCCACGACCAGTGGCAGACAAGGTACCTTGGGGATTTCAGGGTCAGAGTTTTGTGATGAAAGCCACTCTAGAGTAGAGTGGCTCAGCATCGAGAAATCACAAAATCCCACTGCTGGAAGGAACTTCGAAGTGCAATCAGAAAACCTAAGTTCAGTTTCCGGCTCCATCCTTAACTGTGGCCCAAGAATTGCGTGATTTTGGACAAGTTATTTGCCTTCGCTGGGCTTCCATCAATAAGATCCTCTTGGCCACGCAGTCTGAGGTTCTGCATTTGGGTGTGAGATGCTGTCTTCTAGAACTTCACCCTGCGCTGGGATTAAGAACTCTGCTGCCTGCAAGAAGGAGGGAGTCATCCCAGAACATGGTGGGGAGGAAGACTCTGTGAGAAGAGGCTGAGGGGGTCCACCCAGGACACCGCCCAGCATGCAGAGTCTGAGATCTTGAAACCCAGTTCCAACTACACCATTGATCTGTAGAGCGCTCCTGACAGGCTGAACCCTTCTACCCTCCCATTCAACCTAAATCCTTCACTTTATCAAATGGGAGGATGGATTTCCCCTTTGGGGGTTTCTGGTGAGGAGGGGAGGTCCCAGGGCCACAGCAATGACCTGAATTCTGTTTGGCCAGTCTAGTAGCGTGTATGTGTGTGTGCAATCCAGTGTGGGGCTTCCCCCTAGAGAAGACGGAAGAAACTCCAGCAAAAACAGAGAACTCTTAAATAAATACAGAGAACAATCCTGTGGTGGCCAGAGGAGAGGCAGATAGGGGTGTGGGTAAAGAAGGGAATAAAAAGAACACACCTCCAGTTACAAATAAATAACTCATCGGAATGAAGAAAGCAAGAGGAAGGAAGGAAGGAAGGAAGGAAGGAAGGAAGGAAGGAAGGAAGGGAAAAAAAAGAAAAGAAGAAAAGAAAAAAGAAAGAATGCATAGCTCCTTTCTGCTACTTCCCTCCCCTGCTGGGCAGGCTCTCTGCCCCACCCCAGGCTGGGAGAAGGAGTTCCTCATTCCAGCAGCCAGTGGCTTAATCCACAGACTGAAGCATTCCAGGTGCCTTTCTCATGCCCATCACAGACTTCTCACCATTTCCTTTCTCTTGCTATCATTTAAACCAACAACTCGTCTCTAGCTCAGTTGCCTATGATGGGATCTAACCAGGAACCCACTGGCAGGGAAGCCCCGTTGAATACTTCCCTGAGTTTGCTGGATTTTGTCTGGTCCATCTTCCTCTATGTCTGGGGGAATTTCCAAACCTGAGCACATGACTACTGACCCTGGGGCCATAATAATCAAATCCAGAAAGTTTCTAGACCTTTTTTTTCTTCCCAACCAAATTCAGCTCTCACCCTGAATGAGCATCAGAGGCTGATTTCATTAACTTAACGAACATATATGGAGCACCCACTATTTGCCAGCCACTATTCTAGGCATTTAGAATATGTCACGGAGTAAAACAGATCCCTGACCTCATGGAACCAACTTCCTAGTGGAAAGAGATGGCAAACAATAAACAACAACAAATAAGTGAACTACGTAGGAATGTAGGGGGCAAAGTGGGGGTGAAGGGGGGACAGAATGATGGGGTGGGTAGATGAAAAAGGGCCTTGTCAGCCTTAGGGTTGATACTCTGAGTGAAGTGGGTACCATCCCCGGGGAGTTTTTTAGCAGAGGAGTGATGGGATCTCAGTTTAGAAGGATCACTCTGGCAGCTGGGCTAAGAATGGGATGCTTTTTCCCTAGTCCAGGCAAGAGATGAGGGTGGCTCTAATTGTGGAAGTAGCAGAGGACATGGTGAGAGTTGGTCAGATTCTATATATATTTTGAAAATACTGTCCACATGATTTCCTGCCAGATTGATGTGGGATGTCAAAGAAACAGAAGTCAAGAATAAGTACAAACTTTTCAGGGTGCCTGGGTGGTTCAGTCGGTTAAGTGTCTGATTCTTGATCTCAGCTCAGGTCTTGAGCTCAGGGTTGTGAGTTCAAGCCCCACCCTAGGTGCGGAGCCTACTTTAAAAAAAGAAAGAAAGAGAGGGAGAGGGAGAGAGAAAGTAAAGAGAAAAAAGTACAAACTTTTTAGCTTGAACAACTGGAAGGATAGAGCTGTCAGTAACTTTTGGGTCTGGCTTTTTCATCAGAGTATTTAGAACCCCTCCCCCCACAATGAAACCAATGCATATTGTAGGGATGAATCTGTTTCAGGACAAGTGTTATCAAGTCAAGTCCTAAGCACCAGTCTGCCAAGAGTCTGATAAAAGAGTCAACTTGGCCAAATATCCTTGAAATACAAGGTTGTAAACCTGCTCGACCACTGAATTATAGGCCACAACTAAGTTGTTCTGGATTTGTTGGGAGGAAAAGACTTTTGCTCCTCCAACTTGGGTCCAGTGATTAAGGACCCACCAATTAACTGAGAACAGACAGATCAACAGGAGAAAAGACCAAGTTTATTGACATGGGCCCCAGGAAGTTGCTTGGTATTGAGGAACTCATTGAATAACTAGAGATCAAGATTTATATACCAAATGTAATGAAGGAGTAGGAGTGAAAGAGGTGGGGGAGGGGGTTTAGGGCTTCCCTGGGAAGTTAGAGAAAGTTCTATTAGGCAGTCTGTCTCCATGGCAGCTGAATGTGCTAGGAAATCACTCAGAGGGAGATTAATGGCAACTGTATTTTTGGAAAGTTCTGCCTTAGTCAGTTAAGAGAAGTTCAGATAACATTTCTTTCTACATCTTCTGAAGATCCAATGTTTTGACTTTAAAGTATCTTTATATCAACTCTGGGGGTCCAAATGTGTTCCTACAAGTTCAAAACATGGAGTATGCACAGATTGTTTAGATGAGATCCTGTCAGGCAGATTTACCACAGAAAGGGGGATGAGAATCATCTAAATTTGAAAGGACCTGAGAACGGGCCCACCACCCTAACCCCTATTCCTTGGGCTATCATACAGGAAACTCCAGGAGGCCCTCTGTCCACTTGTTCATTCATCTCTTTATTAGGGAATAACCCACATGGTGTAAACTACATCAATCCTACAATTTAATGAACTTTTACATATGAATACACTCAGGAGGAGGTATCCACCACTCAGACAGAGATAGAAGATATTCAGCATCTCAATAGGTCCTCATGTTCCCTTCCAGTCAATATCTCCCCACCAAATCATTCTTACCTCTATCACCATAGATTAGTTCTGCCTATTTTTGAACTTCATACAAATGGAGTTATGAATACACACTCTTTTGTGTCTGTCTTCTTGTTCTTAACATTATGCCTGTGAAACTCAGCTGTGTTGTTTTGTGTAATAATAGTCCATTCTTGTTTGTTGTTAGATAGTATTCCATTGTATAAAGTGTACCACAATTTATTTATTCACTTTCTACTGATGGACATTTGGATTGTTTCCAGTTTTTCACTATTCTTTTTTTTTAAGATTTTATTTATTTATTTGATAGAGAGAGAGAGAGAGCATGAGCAGGGGGGAAGGGTAGAGGGAGAAGCAGACTAGCCATTGAGCAGGGATCCCAAAGTGGGGCTTGATCCCAGGACCTCAGGATCATGACCTGAGCCAAAGGCAGATGCTTAACAGACTGAGTCACCCAGGTGCCCCAGTTTTTCACTATTCTGAAGAAAGCTGCTGCGAACAGTCTTGCATATGTTTTGGGTATACATACCTATGAGTGGAATTGCTGAGTCATTGGGCATACATGTGTTTAGATTTTGTGAATCGTATCCAAATCAATTGTGCCAGCTTCCACTATACCAGCGACATGTGAGAGTTCCAGTTGCCCCATACTCTCCTCAACACCTTGTAATTTTAGAAATTGTACAAGGACAAAAAATTGTCCTTGTAATTTTAGAAATTCTTA